CATTCCTGGCAGTCACCGTGTACTTCCCCTCATCCTCACTGCCCACATGCACAATAACCAGTGAGTGCAGCCCCCCGTCCTGCTGTATCCGCACATTCTCCCCCTCCTGCACTGGCTTGCCTGTACGGAGACACACACCAGCACCAGCATCAGCACCAGCACCCCTCTCAGCCCCAGCCAGGCAGGAGCCCTTGGGTGCAGCCTGCAAAGAGATGGGAGAGGCCTCCCTGCAGGGCCCTGGGAAAGGTCTCCAGGCTTAGGGATTACCAAAATGGGTCCAGATAACCACCGGAGGGGGAGTCCCACTGATCATGCAGTCAAAACGTGCTGTCCGCCCTTCCACCACATCCACGTCCTCCAGCTTGCGGGTGAAGAGCGGCTGCACAGAGGGCTGCACCGTCAGCCGAGCGCTGCAGGTCAGCTCATCTGCAAGGAGAGTGGGCAGGGGTGGGTGCCAGGCTCCATCCTTGCATGAGGCAGGAAGGGTACAGGTGTTTGCAAGGTCCCCGTGGCCCAGGGCTGGGGCTCTGCTGGCAGTGGGATGCCTGTTTCTGCCCCTGCCAGCAGTACAGAAGCCAGGAGCAAGGTGGGATGGGGGGAGTGCCCTGTCGTCCTGTGGGCCAGGGTGTCAAAACTGGCCTAGCCCCTGGGACAGGGCAGTGATACTGAAGCAGGCAGTGCCAGCACACACAGCATCCAGAGGCAACATGAGGACAGCTGGATGCTCCAGATGGGGGGGTTTGCAGCAAGGACTAGTTTGCAGTAATGATGTGGTCAGCCACCTAGGCAGGGAGTGACACCATGCTCTGGCACAGCCTCACCTCCCTGCACCCAAAACTACTGCTGCTCTTAAATCCCCACAAGCATACAGCCTCCCCCATAGAGGGATGCACAGGTACCAGCTGCAAGGTGCTGGGAGTGCCACTGCCCCCCACACCCACTGAAACCCAGCCAGTGGCTGAGGAGCTACCCAGGCAGGCTGGGAAATGAGAAAGGGACCTTTGTCCCTGTCCCTGCATGGGACAGAGGCTGTGTGCAGCATGCACAGGCACAGGGAGTTGGAGCAGTGGGACAGAGGGTGGGTCCTACTGACCTTTCCCAGCTGCCACCAGTGATAGCTTAGTGGAAGCAGGTGGGCAGACCTGGCCCCCCACCCCCTGCTGTCACCTCCCAGGCCAGCAGGGACAGATCAGTGCCAAACCTGGGTGCCCAGAGGCACAGGGGACAGGGACACTTGGGCTCCAGGGCAAATGCATCTCCCCACGGTTCTGGGAGGTAAATGCATGCTAGTGGAGGAGCTGTGTGGACTGACAGGGTGGCAGGGCTCAGGGTGCTGGAGTCCAAGGACTGATCCATGCCAGCTTTCCCAGCTCCTGAGGCAGCAACCACTCCCTTAACCCCCACCTCCAGCACTCACAAGCACATCCCAGGGGACCAAAGCCCCAAACCAAGGGACAGGCTGGGGACACCCATCTCCAGCAGCCCCGACTGAGACTCACCCCCGGGAGCTGCATGACCATCACTTACCTTTGGCAGTGCTGAGCTTGCAGGTGTAGATCCCGCTGTCGTCCTCATGCACGGAGGTGAGCAGCAGCTTGCACTTGCGCCCATCAAAATGCATCTTGCATTTGAGCAGGGCGGGTTGGAGCAGCCGGCCCCGGGAAAGCCAGTCCACGTCCATGTCTGGTGGGCCAGCCACCATGCACTCAAAGAGGGCCAGCTCCCCTGCCCCGACCACCACGTCCTGCAGGGGAACCACGATGGCCAGGGACTGACACTCAGGGCGAGCTGCCCAGCAAGGGGGGAGAGAGAAAGAAAGAGAGACGCGTCTCAGCAACTGAAAAGCAACCATGAGAAGTGGCAGGATGAAAGGAAAGAACATGCGGGGCAGGGGGAACATGCAGGGAGGGTGGCTGGTGCAGTGGGCAGGGAGTGCAGCGGGCAAGGGTGGGAATGGGGGGCGAGATGTGGAAAGCAGAGCTGAGGCAGGGAAGGGACCGGGGGTGAGGGGAGGTGTCCATGCCAGGAACACACCACACAGCACTTTACCAAACAGATTTTATTGGAGCTACAAAAAAAAGGGTCACGGCCTCGCAGCCCACCCCCCCACCGAGCCCCCTCCCCAGAGAGAAGAGACCCAGAGCTAGGGGGTGCTCTGGGTGGACCCCAAGCCCTGGGGCTGCGAGGGACATCTCATGGTGGCCTGGCCAGCACTCAGGTGGCTGCTGTGAAGCCAAAGGGGCTGGTGCTGTCCCTCCCCTCTGCATCTGGGTCATGGTGCTCCCCTGCAAGGGTCCCTTTGGTCTCCTGTCCCCAGTGCTCTGAGGTGACCATTGCGGAACTGCCACTGCACCGCAGCCCCTTCCCTACAGCCCCGGTTGGCACAATGGACCCTGGCCTGGCTGAGGGGGCGCCTGGTGCTCCCTTGCCGCTCCCCCCACTCCCCCCCCGCCTCAGTTACGCCTCCCCCAACCATCCAGTGACCCCCGCCCACAGCCGAGGGCCCGCGCGTCCCCGCGGTGCGTCCAGGACGAGGCGGCGGATGGAGCAGAAGGTAATAACACAAGGTGAGGTCCACTGCCTAAGAGGTGTCCAACTAAGAGCCCCGCGGCCACGGCTCTGAGAGATGCACCCCCTTATCGTACTCCCCCTGCGTACAGACAAAAACCGCAGTCAGCAAGCGGAAGGGTTAGTGCAGCAGCGATGGGGCGGGCACGCACGCAGGCACACGCCAGCGCCGGGACGAGGGGTGCGAGCGTGCACCGGGGCACAGAGCCACCTGCCGAGCCCCCCAAGAGGGGACGGGGCTTCAGTTGTTGCCCCCGCAGCCCAGCTCCTGTCAACTGTGGGGCACTGGGCTGGCTCCTGCTCCCACCTTCGTGCCGCTGCGCTTTGCCAGAGGCTGGGAGCGGGGTCCTGGCAGGGTACAAGCAGTGCAGCCAAGGCCAGGGCTGGCTGGGAGCAGCCCGGGGTGCTCAGGCAGCCATCAGCAGGGAGGGCTGGGGGGAGCAGGGCACACACAGCAAAGGGTAAGAGGAGGGAGGCAGCAACACTTGTCCCTGTAGGCTCCTTCTCTAGCCTTGGGGGATGCCAGGCAGAGCCTGGCTACCAGATCAGTCCCACGCCCCCCCCGCCCTGCTTCCACTTGCACACATATGTTGGGGTCCTGGGAGGACCACAGCAGGGCTGGGGAGAGATGGCAAGGGAAAAGAGCTGGAACTCCAACCCATGCATACGGGCTATTGCTGGAAATGGACAAGAGGGACCTCTCCAAGCTGCCCTGTGCCTGGCACGCATCCAGCAGGCTGCCTGGGGCAGGAAGGGAGCTGTTAGCACGGTGGGGGAACATGTGCCCTGCAGGGTCACCAAAGGCAAAAAGCCTCCCTGTGCCACCAGGGGCAGCACCCAGCCCCAGCAATGGGGATGTGGGGGGACATCGGGTGAAGCTGGGCTGCAGGGAGCAGCGGGATCTTGGTCAGGCCAGCGGGGGCTCTGCACAGCTGCGTGGTGGGACCCACGGCCATGGAGTTGCACATCAACAGCAGGGGCATGGACAGGGCAGCAGGGCAGCCTGCCTGCTGCAGGGTCAGCCTCTCTGGGCAGCCCCAGACATGTGCCTCCACTTTCTTGCTCCCAGCTTGCACCCACCTGAGCTGCAGAAGGAAAGGGCAGGCTGGCTCATCCCCTTCTTCTGCAGCACCACCAAAGGGGGGTCTGCAGTGGCCCCTTCCCCACACAGCTCATGCAGGGCACTGGAGCCAGCTGGCCCCTTGGGCCCAGGGGGACAAGCCCAGGGGTTTTACCTCTGACCTCCAGCTTGGCCTCGCACTGCTTGGTGCCATACTCGTTGACGGCCTTGCAGGTGTAGAAGCCGGTGTCAGCGCGCTCTGCCGCCAGGATGTGCAGCGTGAAAAGCCCCCGCGCCCCTTCTGCCTCTGCGTGGTGCCGGCGGCCGTACTTCACTGGCTGCCGGTTCCTCAGCCTGCTCAGGACACACATGGCATGATCACACTTGGCCCTAAATGCCCAGCCTGGCTGTCCCTAAAAGACTGCCCTCCTCAAATCCCAGCCCTGCTCAGGACCAGAGCCCTGGGCTTACCATCCCCAAATGGGAAGGTCACCATGGCTTTCCCCTCTTTTCCTGACCAGCTGTGACACAGCAAACACCAGGACTCACCAGTAAATGATGGGCTTGGGCTCCCCACGGACGCGGACGCTCATGCTGACATCCTGCCCCTCCAGCACCGACTGGTCTGACAGGGACACCTGGGAAAGTGAGGGTCAGAGGGCAGCAAGAACCTACCAACAGCCAGGGACATGCATCCTCACCATTGCCCCCAGGGCTATATGTCATGAGCACTGCACCCAAGGCTATGTGTCCCCCATCACATCAAAAGCCCTAGAGTACCAAGGAAGCTGGTGGGGTGGAGTCTGTCCTTGTGCTGGGAGCACCTCAGATCAGGGGGTAGGAAGGCCTGACCTGGCACATCCTAGCACCTCCTGGATCCAGGAACCCCAGGGCTGTGGTCACAGAACACTGTTCCCCCTCTGCCAGGTCGCAGGGAGGGGGTTCATCTCACCTCAAAGGTGGGTGCAGCCTTGAAGGTGCTCTCCGGGGAGCCGTGGGCAGCCCCATGCTCGGCTCTAGGCTGCAGCTTCATGGCCGGTCGGTGCTGAGGGGTGCCAGATTCAGGGAACTCTTCCAGGGGACTCAGGTACTCCTCGTCAGAGGTGATGGGGCTGGCCTGGCCGAGGGGGGGTGCCAAGTTCCCATGCCGCTCCACAGCAGGGGCTAGCACATGAGAGGCTGGATAAGAAGCTGGTAGCAGCCAGAGCCGGGCAGGTGAGTCAGAGCACCCCTCCCCACCACCCTGCGCCCCCAGGGTGCCTGGTAACACCCATCCCATGCCACATTCCAGCTCGGCAGCAGCCGGCAGCGAAGGGGTGTGGGGGCCGCGCAGGGGGAGGGGGTGAGGAGCATTCAACGGGACGATAAGGGGACGCGATATCCCGCAAGGCGACAGCAGGGCTCAAGTGGCTCTTACGCAGCAGCCCGCGCTCCCATCCTTAAGCCGCCCAGATTCCCGGGATGGCTGTCCCTGCCCCGGGCCGGCGAGGGCTGAAGGTGACATTGGCAGCTGCGCTCCGCT